TTTGTGATTAAATGATGCCATCGTTGTGTTGGTGGATTAGGACGGGCATGGAAATAGATTAGTTCTGCAGTGGTTTTTCATCATGATTGGCAGGCCTCCAAAAACTCACTCCGCACACTCCCTCTCCCTTTTCTCTCTTTCCATCTCCCCCTTCCAAAGCAGAGCTGTGTTGGAGTCTATGGTTTGTAGGCTGCTAGCACCACCCACTGGTAAAGAGGGACATGGCATTAAGAGTTCTCCGCCTGCCCCACATAACTTCCATTCAAAATGAACAGGATTGTACAGTGGTTTGGGAGGTGGCTCAACCAAAACGGGTTGTTTTTGGCACATTTAAAGAAAAACATGAATAAATGTGTGGGGGGAACAAAACAAATGCAGGTGTCAAAATTATGTCATCAAAACAGCAAATGAGGGAATATCTTTTGGAAGAATGGTGTTCATTGAGGTCCAGAGACTTGGACTATCCATGCCAAGGAACTCTGAAGCTCTTCTGGCAACCATGTCTCCTAGAAATTACATTAATATAAAAGTCATTTGTTCCCCTGCATGCATTTGGAGGAAACATAATAGCTGCCTGGATTACAATAGATTCACTGGCAACATTTTTCCAGACAAGAAAGTGCTCTGCTCTTGTACCATGCAGAAGCCGATGGGAAGTGGTTGTGCTGGATGGTGGGTGAACGAAGTGCAGGGCTGTGACACTAAAGACGGACGTTTGCACGATGAGACTCATGTGTGGGGTTAAATTTAGGCAACAAAGCATTTTGATTAAGGGACAGAGCGTGGTTTTGGTTTACATATTATATAATATTTCAAAACTAAAAACATCCTGTCACTGTTGCCTTTTTCAATTTTTAACCAAGCCCACAGTCTCGCCATAATCCTAACCAGGTGGTGTGAGTGCCTCAACATAATGTTAAAAAATGTTAATATATGATAAACAAATGCATCTTGTCAGTGAATGTTTTGCAGATACATTCAGTAAGAGAACATTTTGCAACTTGGTAATATATTCATTAAAAAACAGGGCCTTAATATTAAAACACTTTATCCAGGCTACATTATGTTTATCTTTTGGTGTTACAAATCAATAGTATATAGACATCATTTTTAAGAGACAGGATTGTGACGATTGCTTTTCTTTTGATTTGTCACACATCTAAATATACATTTATAAGGGCATAACTGTGGATCATTGGAGATTATCTCACAGTAAGAAGAATCAGATAATGAAATTGGTCTTGTGTGCGGAGTTTGCATTTTCCTAATGTTTTTTTTTTAAATACAGGAAAACTTGAGACTCTGAATGACCCTTAGACTTGAGTTTCTGAATGTCACACCTTGCACGGGAATGTACTGTATTTCACACTCTACTGGCAACAGACCTGCCTCTGCCAAGATGCATATTGTGGTTGCATTGCATCTGCACACCTTCTCTGTGATGTATTGTATTTGCATCTCTAGAAAAAAAAGTCTTCACTCTTTGAATTCTCCCTCAAAACCTGAAGTTGACCGTTGATGTTTGTGTCATGAAGTTATAGTTATGGCCAAACGCAAATGTGCAACGTGTTACCACAGAAAATCAGATGGAGTTTCCTTCTGAGTGTACAGTAAATGTGTGAAGTTTACTGTAAGAGAGACTGACCACTCCTCTGCCCTTTAGCACCAGCAGCCATCGCTCCCCTATCCGCTTCCTCATTAGGATTCTGGGACAAACAGAACAGAGACACAAGTAGACACACACACATGTAAAAATGTGCCACACACACACACACACACACAGTTTGATTCTAATTGGGTGACCCAAAGCCACTGATATCATCTGCTATGGTGTGAGACCACAGTCTCACCCAGAGCAACCGGCGGCCTCTGCAGTCACACCGCCTCTGAAGAAGACTGGAGGAGTGAGGGAAGGAGGAAGGGTAAAGAAAAGACAAATAGAAGACACAACTGGCCTAGCAAGGAGAAGGAGAAGAGGAGGAAGAACACAACAACAAAAACACAAAGTGGCGCAGAGTTCATTAATTAGAATTTCAAATTGGACAAACTCAAGATGACAGCGTTGTGCTTGTCAAATCAGATCATGCCCCGGCGGGGTGAGACAGAGGGAAGAGAGAGAAGGAGGCACACTGCTCAGAGCCAAATACCCATCTTAGTAGCTGAATGAGTGCAATCTCTCTCTTTCTTCCTTTCTCTCTCTCTCTCTCTCTCTTTCTCTCCATTTCCTCTGATTACACCGACCGCCTCCCCTCTGTCCCCGCGTGAATGTCACGGCCGCCTTAACAAGAAGTGACAATTAAAACATCATCGGCGTCTCCAGGCTGAATGGGTGCAGCCTGCCGGGGTCCCTGCTTCCTGCAAGGGAGGGAGAGATGGAGGGAGAGAGAGAATAAAAGAGATGGAGGAGCTGGAGGGAAACATACTTTGAGCTGAGAGAAATGGAGAGAGAGATACTTTGGCAACATGTACTGAAGAATTTTGCCTATAAAGCTTAATAAATTGAACTGAGATAAGTGTATATGTTTGGATTTATATATATGAGAGGTGGAACAAAAACAACAACCTTGAAACATACGGTACAATAACCCACAACATACTGGCAAATTCAGTAATGTGGTGCCTAGAAATAATATTAAACAGGTTTTTGTTATTTTATTTCTCTTGACTCATTATATGTGAATTTACTGTAATGTAATAATCAGACATAAGAGGCATTTTTATGCTTTTGCAGGTTGATAGTTCTTCATAGTCCTACTTATAGTGAAGTACCAGTTTGTTATTAACACCTGTAAACCACCAAAGCCCTATAAATTGGATCTTTGTGAAGCATGCATTTACATTTATTTTGTAATTTTTATTCAAAGCGACTTACATTTGCCATACATGTCAGAGTACTCCTCTGAAGCAACTGGGGGTTAAGTGTCTTGCTCAGGAACACGTTGGTTGATGTGTCACAGTAGGGAATTGAACCCAGGTCTCTCACACCAAAGGCATGTGTCTTAGCCACTGCACCATGCTCTCCCCATACACTAGTGTAATATTTTTTGTTGGCAGTGTCAGTGGCTTCCAAAGTAAACTTAGCTAATATTCTGTCCCTTTCATATGTGTAAATGGGGGTGGACATTAACAAAGAATTCAATCCATCAGTACTATCGCACCAAACATTTTGGCAAACGTACCAAATATAGATCAGTCTAACCTCTGACTGTGTTAAATCAGCACAGTAACCAATGTTTCCATCACTCAGAGTTACTTTAACATTTTCACATAGTTGTAGTATTGCCTCCGAGCCACATCAGTTTTTGGAGTGAAGAAGTAACTGTCCTATCAACACTTGTCAACTCAAAGGCAATATCAAAAAAATAACTAACAACAATTTGCTGGGAAAATCCATACTAATGGTTTCAGTGAAGCTACAATCCAGCATGCCCTTAAACAATCACACAATGTGTCCTCACCTGTCTAAATGTTTGGATTGGATTAGATGTAATGTTAACGATCCCTGTGGGTGAATAATGGAGTGAGTTTGTGAAACTAATTTATAGCAAATGATTATTGAATAAACTGTTGCATTTAGTTGCAAGGAAGAGACACAATATAAAGGAAGAAATGAATCTAGACTGGAGTAGAAGACACTGAGATACGCGCTGTGGTCATTTTACCAGCAGCCTAGATCAAGCAGGCTAGAGAGTGTTTGGCATTTTGAAGTATGTGTGTGTGTGTGTGTGTGTGTGTGTGTGTGTGTGTGTGTGCTTGCGTCTGCACACTCACTTGGGCTCTAGACCAGCTGTGCCGCTGCACACAAATGAGCTGTCTTCACAAAGAGCCAAAAATCATCCAGCACACCACTGGGCACCACCTTACACACACACACACACACACACACACACACACACACACACACAGACACACATGTGCATCAATTGCACGCACAGAGAGAAGCAGATATACATGATCCCACTTAATTAGGCATGAATTCAGTAGTGGACACAACTTACTTCATGAGTTAAAATTTTTAAACTAGTACAGTGTATCCTGAGTATGTGTGTCTGTGTGTGTGTGCTTGGACATGTGTGTGAACAGCCAAGAGCTCTCCGGTTTGATGGCTTTCTGTTTTGACTCCATTATGCTGATGGCTTTGGTTCTGTTCCAGGTTCTCTATGACTGTGTGTGTGTGTGTGTGTGTGTGTGTGTGTGTGTGTGTGTGTGTGTGTGTGTGTGTGTGTGTGTGTGTGTGTGTGTGTGTGTGTGTGTGTGTGTGTGTGTGTGTGTGTGTGTGTGTGCATGTGTGTGTGTGTGTGTGTGTGAGTGTGTGAGTGTGGGTGTGTGTGTGTGTGTGTGTGTGTGTGTGTGTGCTGTGTGTGTGGGTGTGTGTGGGTGTGTGTGTGGGTGTGTGTGGGTGTGTGTGTGGGGGGGGGGGGGTGTAAGGTGGCAGGAAAATACTTTCCTCAGCATCATTAAGGATCGGAGAAGCATCTCTGCAGAGCCTGGCCCACCCCTAAAGTCCCTGATCCTACTATTGTTCTCGGTCCCCTGGGAGAGTTCATACGGATTATTTTTATTGACAATCGAGACAACATATTTTAAGTTTGGGACAAAAGTCATTATCTAATTATCACAATAAAGCATTACAGTGTTCAAATGGAAGTTGGGGCCTTTTTTAAATGAGTGCAAATGTGTGGTGGTCGGCTGAACATTTCTTGTGTAAAGTTTACAGAAGAGACACCACTGTTCTCTACTCCTTTGACAGACCACAATTCACACAAACACAATACAACCAGGACTGATGAATACTACTGTGTGTGTCCAGTACTACTGACTAAATAGCAAGTCCCATGAGGTAGTGAAGACGCTGTGTGTTATTTATGGATTTTCACTGCATTTGTTTGATGTTATTAACTAAAGGTAATGGGTGCAATGCACTGGCTATAGGTTTTAAATATCTAAAATGGTTCTGTTTACAATACAGCCCCCTAAAATAAAATGACACACAAGCATGATCTCTGAAACACAGGTTTAGTGAAACTAGACTATACTATAATAGTATGAACTGTCTTTGTACCACCTTTCTAAACTGTAGTTCACTGTAAACTTTGAGATAGCGAAACTTTTAAATTAATTTTTCATTATGTAGCCGATTTAAACTCTTACACAAGTGATCTGAAATTCTCTGTAACTTATACATATGTTTGTAACATCTCACATGTGTTTTCTTTTTTTAAATGTTTTATCAAAGCCACAGCTGTAGTATCCTGGATGTTGCTGCTGAGATGAGAAGCAACATGCCATGGTGGCTGGATTACTGTAAGTTATTGTGCAGTATTGCATGAGACATTGGCCTACTTTTGTTAATTATTTTGGACAGTTGTGTGTTTGTCATTAATTTAAGTTTAAAAGGAGATAAAATGGTGTGACACTCGCCGCAGAGCCGGTCGCTAACACATTGCAGTTAAACTACAAACATTGCACATATGTTGTTTTCTTATTAATGCACATTTACAGTGTGTCTTCAGTTGTTGCATAATATTATGCCCAGCTTGTACAAACAGTGGTCATTGTGCATGTGTGTTAGTTCCAGGTTTCTTCATCACTGTTATACCAGGTAGGTCCAGTCGCTGGGTGTACGTCCACACTGTAAGAGAACAAAGGTCAAGAAAAGGTTACAAGAGAGTCTCCGGTCCTCTGGGGCCCTAGCAGTAAAAAAAAAAGAAAGAAAGAAAGAAAGAAAATCTCCCGTCACTAAGCACTAAACTTCACTTGCCAGCTGCCTCTTAATTGCGAGCAAAACACAAATCAAAAAATGAAATCAAATATCCGTAAGCAAATCTGCAAACTCAGCCACCAACCGAACACAACACTACAGAGGAAAGGAACTATAATAAAAATCAAAACAAAATGTTCCCCAATCCGTGACAGCCGCGGAGACAAATCCAATTATTTGTGTCTCATGTTGCAAATTTGTTCTAATGGTCGAAGTGAGAAAATAAATAAACGCCTGCGAAGGGGAAACAAAAGAATGTGATTTCTAATTAACTTGAAAGAGGAACAGCAGGGCGACTTAGTAAACCCATCTTTCATCTGCTGCCTCAGACCACTCGTTTGTTTGTTGCACAATGTTGTCTTCAAGAGGGGCGGGAGGACGAGTGTGTGTGGGGGGATAACACTGCACTGCTTCCTTCCAAATGAAATGTCAACAGATTTAACAGCTCTGCGGAAGGAGCGCAGCGTTTTCCAGCGTTTTGTCGATTTTATTGTTCATTAAGCTTTGCTGCCGCTCCCCCCCCCCACCAAATCTTCTTCCTCCTCCTCCTCTCCCACTTGTTCGAGGCTTCATTTGCAGCATCTTGGCTTTGAAGATCACAAAAGGCTGAGGCAATAATTGGGTTTGTGCAATTACAGCAGGCTTAATGAGAGAATTCAGGAGTTTGTCTTGCCCCTATCTCCAACTCTCCACACTCCACTATTAGGCCAGCAACTGTCTCTCTCTCTCTCTTTCTCTCTCTCTCTCTCTCTGAAGCGCGTTGATAAAGGAAGATGTTATCAGATATAAAGATGTGGTCAACACATTCATAACGCACATCCTGCATGCATACAAGGCCTGGATGATGGAGAGAGCAGATATGCTAATCACCTGCCCCAGACTGACTAGAAAGACACAACAAAAACACAGAAAGTAAAGTGAGCAAGGGAGAGAGAGAGAGAGAGACAAGGCAAAAGAAAAGAGGACAAAAGTCACTCATTGAAGAGATAAGCTCATATAATCAACTAATCAAAGTGTTTTGAGGACATTTAGGAGATCAGGAAAGGGCCACTATCTGCTCATATTAGAAATACTACAAAGTGGCAGAAGTATTCAGATCATTTGTTAAGTAGAAGTACTAATACAATGTAAAAATCCTCAATGACAAGTAAAAGTCTTTCATTAAAATCTGCCTTAACTAAATATATATGATAAGTATTGATAAGTATTATCAACAAAATGTATGTAAAGTGTCAGAAGTAAAAATACTTACTCTGCAGAAAAATGACCTCTGTGACTGAGATGATCATAAAATATTATTAAATGGTAAAACTGATTAGGTATAGGCATAGGTAGCATTTTACTGCTGAAGCTGGTTGAGGTGGTGCTCGTTTTACTTTATATATAGGTATTTTAGTCCAGTGGTTCCATATCTAGGGGCCACTTACTGGGGGGCCCAAGATAAATATCAGGGAAGTCATTAGAGGATCATTTTTCTAGCATTTGCTTTTTTGTGAAATATTGGATAAGTTGACTTCTTTGGGGCCTCAAAATATTATATGAATATAACCAGTTTAGCTGTAAAATGTCTCTTTGGTGGGACTGTTAACAACTGATGGACATCTTAAATGTGACAAGTCTTTCAGTAAGGGGAGTTACAATGCAAAATGCCACAAATTTGGCCAGTGGCCACATTTCAGTCCACCTTTTCCATATTACAGGTTTGTTTGTTCATGTACTGAACACGTCTTGTCAGCTCCACAGATGAATAAGAACTACGGAGTCTAAAAGCTTGAACAGGTGATTTATGGGAGTCTCTTTCTAGCTTCATAAGTTAGTAGATAATTAGGTTAAAAAGTTACAGATTTTGCTGAAGTTTTGTACACACTTTCCCGAAGGATTTTGGCGTTTTAGCTCTGGTGCTGATGACATAAAGGAAAATGGAAAAAGTTTTCCATTCAGTGTGCGGCCAGATAGGAATTTATTTTATTTTGTCATTTGTTGTGACCCCTGACTGGAAAGAACACCCTGGGTTGTTGAGTTAAATCACTTTTTACTTCATGTGTGTGAAGCAAATAGAAAGTCCAGTTTTCCACTCCTTTGTATGCCATAAAAGACTCAAAGGTCCCCTTTTAAACAAGCAGAACTGATTTTTGGTGGAAACTTGATCTCTGAAGACAAACAAACCTTTACAGAGGCTGTCGTTTTGCAAAGTGAAGATTTGTTTGGTTTCCCTGTACCTTCTTAGCCGGATAATGATCTCAACCATATGAGGTTGAGATCATACCCTTACTAATAATAGGCTCATTACACAGTACAATAACAGACAGTCAGAGATACATAGCATGCCCATTAACGCAAATCAAGCCTTCAGCAAAGAACACTATGAATCTGTTTAAACCTGCAGTGCTGCGTAGACTGCAGAGCTTGTAGTCCATGTACAATATTACCAAATCATTACTCATTACCTAATAAGATAGTTCACTTATTATGTACTTACAGGCAAGGTAATGCATGCAGTGGGTGTACAATGAATAAAGACCAATGGGGGTTTATTTCATAAAATTACAACTTAATGCTTTTATTTCATTAAGTTACATAATAATCACTCAGATAACAGTCCCGAATGCAATTATGGAGATGCGTGATAAGTTAATATTTGTAGGGAATATTTGTTTTTGTAAGTTCTTGCCTTTCATCGACCATATTTTAAATTTAGTGAGTCAACATATCTATTTATTTGAGTTGGGGACCCCTCAGTATTGTTGGTTAGGAAATATGTGAGCAATAACAAACTATGTGATGTATGTGAAGTACAAAGTTCTAGGCACTGTCATTTACTACTGCCCCTTGCGTTCCCACCTTTTGAAGGATGCTGCTCTTTCAACTTTTTCTCCTCTATTCACATCACTGAATGCTTTCTTCAAAGTAACCTATTGCTATGTGGGAATAGATTCCTGAGGGTGACAGGAGTGTAAAGAACACAGATGCTTAACCAGCTGTTACTACAGTAAGCTAGGGGACACATCTGTGGGATGTATGTGTGTGTATGTGTGTGTGTCTGTGCATCCACCAACCTGTATATCTATGAGTTCCTTTGCTATCCGTGAAGTCAACCGTGAGTTTTTATCCTGACAGGGGATATGCAATTTCTAAAGCACACAAAAACACACACATTTTAATAATTGAATCAGCTCGGTGTCCACTTGGTACAATATAAATTACGAGAATAAAGAGAACATAAAGTAAACATAATACAATATTAAAACAAGAAGCCACAGGGTTCTGTCAGCCTTCTAAAGATTAAACTGTCCATGTGGTCACAAGAGACAGTGAGCCTCATTCATCAAAGAACTAAGCTTCTCTAAGTTTTTAAACTATTCACATAACTACTTTGTATTAAAATGTACCGTATGAAATATTTAATCAAATAAAGACTGAATTTTTTAACAGTGTAACTGCATTAAAAGGAGGCTCAAGATAGAAAGTTCAACTTCCTTTGCTGTAATTTATCATGCAGTGGAAGATGAGATGGCAAAATGGGAGGACTTAAAGGTTCAGTGTGTAACATTTCTGAAGATTTATTGACAGAAATGAAATATAAGATCCATAACTATGTTTTCAGTGGTGTCTGAAGACCTTACATAATGAACAGTTATGTTTTTATTACCTTAGAATGAGCCATTTCTATCTACATACACCGCGACTTCCCTTACATGGAGGTCGCCATGTTGCATTGCCATGTTTCTACATCTGAAAACAGACAAATGGCTCTAAAGAGCGTGTTTTGTCACTACGCTGTTGTTCTTGTTCCTGTATAATTCCAGCAGTGTAGACGCTTGTCACTATGTTGAATGCTCATGAAGAAGAAGAATAGGAAATAATAATAATAATAATAATAAATACAGTCTCTGAGTAGTCTCTGGTTTATTAGAAGTAAGAACTGAAGTGAAATTTGGAAAACTACACGTATTTATTTAGCTTATGAGCTGATGGACCGTGAATCTTCGTTGTTGAAGAAGTGAAAACACGATGAAGCCAGACGAAGTAGGGACAGATGCAGACAGATGACGACAGAAATCACGGATATAAACATCAGTATGGATTTTCCCAGATAGCAACGCAAATGAAAAAACTGTTTTAGCTAGAATCTGGCCATAATCACAGAGAGAAGCAACATGTTTCCCTTGTCAGTGGTGTAAAACAGTTGGATTAGTTTCAAATCTATTCTCCAGTGCTGTGTTTTGGCTTTGCCAAGTGGACAGAAACGTTTGGGAGACAATCAGCTGATGAATATTATTGGCAATAAAACTATACAGCATGGATGTTCAGATCAGCCAGCTAAACTTTACATATCACTGCGCTGGTGGAAAAAAACATACTTTTTTTTTTTTTACTGCTAACAGCGTTATGATAACATGACCGTGTGCCTATCAAGTGACCAATAATGCTTATGCTCAGAATTTGCATTAAAATTAAAATGTATTTGTTTGTAGGCTATTGCTTCACTAATGTGCACACAAAGGTGTAATTTGATGATTCACATGGTAAATGCTCATTAAAAACATTGCACCATTTTACCACAAGCTAAAATTATGGCTATTTGTACTACTTTGTGTTTCTAATTTAAAAAGACATTTTGGTCAGATTTGCAGATTGCTTATCTAACTGAACAAAGTGGAGAGGAGTCTTGATCCCCACCTGACAAAGCTTTAGTAAACTTCATCTATTATGTGGTTTATATGCACTGTGGTACAGAAACAACAATTCTTACATTTCCTGTTACCTGTCAAGGGTCATACTTGAACTAGATTAAATAGTTTTAATCTACCCTCCCAAGATGTAACAAAATGATTACAGTACAGTAAAATAATGCAGTACAGAATCATCATGTAGCACTGAATTTCTTGATGTTGCTGTTGTTTGCTGATTAACAATAATTTTCCAATTCTATTAAATGGTCTGTTCATTATTGTTAGGACACAGCAAGTGATAGAAACCAAAAGAGAGCACATTGTGATTCCCTACACTAGGCTTTAAATATGCAATGATAAAATCAGACAGGATAAAATACAGGCAGTGTCTACAAAAAATCTTTGACAAAAGTAATTCTTTAAACCCAAAATCATTGTTTTTCATTTTATCATTCTATTTATTTAATCATTTAACTCTAAGGAATACACCACAACCCATTATATACAGTATTTTCATATAATTTCACATAATTGGCTTTGGTTTATGTTAGTAAAGTGATACATACAGAATGTGTTTGTCCACTGCTCTTTCTTACCTCTTCCTGGTAAACAATGTGACCTATGGGGCAGATCATGCAGGCAGTACCGGAGCCAAACATCTCTTTGACCCGCTGCTGCTTCAGAGCAGAGCAAAGCTGGCTCATTGTCAGGTAGCGCTCTGTCACCTTAAACTCACCCTGGGCACAGAAGAGAGCAGAAAAGACCAGAGGAAATGTGATGCCTAATTTGGAATATTAATCCATGCATGTTGACCTCTACTCTTTTGTCTTTCTCACCCATTTCTTGGTGAGTTCCAGGACACTCTGTCGCGTTACTCCTGGGAGTATGATACCATCCAGTGGTGGAGTTGCAAGTTCCTCCTCTAATAAAGATAAGATAAATTAATGAATGGAACAAAACAAAACATAAACACTAGATAACTGGAGATGCTGTGTGCCATCATGTTGTAGTGACATTGTTCTGCCAGTAGAGGTCAAATTTGTAAAACGTTTTGCATCCAAAGCACATTACATTTGCATCTAAGGTGCAAATGGAAGTTCAACTAACTATCCCTTTGACCTCTTGTCCCAGGGCTCAAACTGCACTGCAACTCAACATCTACACCTTTCACTTTCCCTACAGCACAGCAAACAGCCTGTGATTAACCAGTTGGGCTTCTGGTAGTGTGACTAACCTCCATCCTCATTTATCCAGTGCAGGAAGATGTTCATGGTTCCTGCCTCAGTGATCTGGTGGTCTTCTCCATACAGCCACAGCACCTGCTGGCACCCATAATCCGCTGCTTCGTACTGAGCGGACAAAGAACATCCGTAGTTCCTGCAGAAATCCAAATCAACAATTGCAATTACGATAACTGTAGTGTTCACGGAGCAACAGTGAAAGTGAGAAATGTATACATTTAATCTCCTGTCCCTATTGTGTGGTTGTTGGAGTTGGAGTGAATTCATTGATTATCAGTGAATAAAAACTAAAACATTCATACAGTGTGTGCCTACCCACCCTCCCATCTTGCAGTCTCCGGTTCCTCCTTTCCAGGCCCGTGTGTACTTTGTGTCAGCCCACAAAGACAGGGTTTCAGCCTCATTGTTGAAGTAAGGCCCAGCTTGACACAAGATCACATACAGCAAGGCACGGGCAGGCTTCTTTACACCCAGAGAGGGCTACCATGGACACATAAAGCCATAGCAATGTATTTAAAACAAAATAAACCTTCTGCTTCCACAAATTACGGCAGCACGTCATGATCCTCCTTACCTCGGTGCTAATAAACGTCGGTCTGATGTACAGACTGGCTGAGCCTGAGTGAGGAACCCAGTCCTGGTCAATCTCTACCAGTCGCTTGATACACTCCAGCAACTCTGACTGATCAAAGGGCTGGTGGAGGGAGAGAGGTGGAGAAATAGAAAGATTAGGAGAGTGGAGTGGGAGAAAAGACAAGAAACAAACAGGGTGGTTGTGGCACTGAAATATCAGAAGTGGAAGACTGAGAACTTGAAGGTGAAGTTACAGTTTAAAGGCTAAAAACAGTTATTTGTTCATCACTGTCACCCATCCTTTCACCAGCCCATCCATCCACTCCTTCCTCACATCCATCTTACAGGTAGACAAGCTCTCCTAGCAGAGTTGGACATGCGGTTCATATTGAGCGTCGGTCTGAAGAGACGCAGTCGATCATCATCCCCACGGTACACCTTCAAGCCTTCAAACAGCTAGTGAGAAGAGATGAAAAACAACATAAAGGAACTAAATAAAGGTAACATGTATTTAGATTTTTTCTGTAATTACTCTATTTAACTTAATGTGTTATTATCATACACCTGGTTTTGAATTTTAAATATATTTAACAACCTTGAGTAGGATTTCCTGACCATAGGGTTAAGGGATTTTAGAAATACTGAGGTCATGACCCCACCGAGACACAAAAAAGGGCCCATCATTCTGTTTTTCAATATTTTATTTTGTAAAATATTTCGTAAAATGTTATGTAAATGGAACAGATCTTTCAGGAAATCCCTCCAAAAATAAACTGTTTACAAACTCAACTAAAGTAGGAAATTATTCGGGTGATTACATGAAATAATGCATTGCAGGGTTATTTCCCATAATGAAGGTCTAAATGCTACCAAGAACACAATTCTGGTGGTGAAATACTAATTTATTTATATTTAAAGGATCTTGGGTCTAATACACTGGAAATGTGCTTGTAAAACACCCACCATGTGTTACTAGGTTGCTAAATTCCCAGAAAAAAATAGGACATGACTTCCTCAGTGCCAGCCTGGTTAAGATTCTAGTTGGGTTCTTCTGGTGTCTTTAGATATTCTTATCATTTGATGAATACCCACTACACTGCTATATCAATACCATACCATACATGTCTATGTCATGTTCCCATGTTTCTGTTTATTTCAACATCCATTGTGTATTTGGTGTAATTATGTTTTAAATAATTTACTGTTAAAAATATTGGCCAAGTTGATTGGTTTTCAAGTAGTTAGATCGTTTTGGGTTTTGAATATGCTGAAACCTTCATCCAGGCTTTTATTTTGCCCTGTCCTGACTAAACTCTTTGTACTGCAGTGAGACCAGTCAAGTCAGTCTCCTGATAGAATACAACAAAAGAAGGCTAAGCTAAGCAAGTAAAGGAAGAAAGTAAGGCTAAAGTTCCTGGTCAGTGTACCTGTATGCCATAGTGCAGTGACGAACAGGCCGGGTGAAGTGACAGGTTCCCAAAGGCCTTGATGAGCGGAACCTGCCAGCCCTCAGTTGCACTCCACTCTATGGTTAGCATGTGGTCTGTGAAGACAGTCCCAAAGGCAAACGTGTCCGGTTTGGTCTTTGGAGTGGAGGACAGCTGGATAACCAGATCAGCTGCCTGGTTATAAATATACAGTACAGAACAGCAGAAGAAACTGTGACATTTTAGAAGAATCTGCATGTTTTATGCACAAATCGAGCCTGTGTCCACCTTTTTATTTTTGGAGCACTGTGTTCACATAGATAACTGACTAATTAGCTTCAAGAAATCTACTTTCATCTTCCTCCTCAACTTGCTCAAGTTTACTTATGCTTTTTGCTCTCATATTGTTGAATAACAACTCTATCACACCTCTTCGTTTGCAAGTCACAGACATGTTATGTTTTGTTTGCAATCCTCACTTCTCAATGAGTGTACTGTTACTGATGTATAAATATATGTACTTGTCAGAGAGAAACATTGCACAACAAATTACATTAGATAGAAATATAAACTTGCCGGTGTTACTCAAAACAAAAAACTTGAGATAAAAAATAGCAGTAACTTTTATCCTGCTTCATAATCTTAAGGGGAAAAGGTGTACATGTGACTTTGAGTTCTGGAAAGACTTTGCATCGTTAATAATATAACACTTGTTTCTGTAAATTGAATACTTTTTTACCTTTTTCTTACACTTTTGTAGTCTTACTTAGCAACATTTTGAATGCATGCTATGGTATTTCTACTTGTGCTTAAGAAAAGAAGGAGAATGATTTTAAATGTAGCGATGAAGCCCAAAACCTCAGAAATCTCCTGCAGTCCTTTAATGAACTGCTTTACAGGCAGCAACCCTGATTTGAATAGTTCAGCAGCAACAGACCTATCTACCTCTGACCCAAACAAAACATAGAGGACAGAGGGGGCTGTAGAGGCCTGCCACAAAATGCAGTGCCTCTTTCAAGTCATCAGTGTTTAAATATTCATCCATAATTTAACAGGAGAAAGAGTGGAGTCAGTGTCTTCTTTCTCCATCTCTTGTTTTTCTCACCCCCTCCGTAGCGCTGCTTAGGTTTGTCCTGTATCCTGAATAGGCTAAGCGCAGGAGCTGTAATTTTAATTCTGCAATGGCAGAGCAGTTTGTTTCCTGAAACATTTCAGGAGTCTGCTTATTTAAGATTGTCTTCACACAGCTGAAGAGCTCTTTAAGTTTGGGTTGTTGAGAAGCAACTTTTGAGTCTCCTGAAACAGCAGGCTCGCTCTGTTTGTCGCCTGCCTTCATGCTCGTCTGGGTGGATGGACTTTCAGAAGCAGCTTGGCTTTTGTTTTTTATTGAAGGATATATATATATATATAAAGAGTATACAGCTTGGATTACAGTCATCAGAAGAATAACAACCTTTTTTTTAGTACAGTAAGGCTGATATGTGATAGAGAAGTTGGTAGAGACCAAAAACAGAGCTACAACAGCTGCTGGAACATTGACAGTGTGACAGGCAATTCAAAGATTGACACCAGACCAGCGACACTGTAACATCAAGGACACAAAGACATACAGAAAGGAACTGTTCACAAAAACAGAGTGATACTTTATTTATATATATTTAGATATACAATAGAAATATCATCAAATTAGATTTGAAAGGGCTTGAATCTGAGTCATCCAGTCTCTGAGTCCAGTATGTCCTCATTCTGCATTTATGGTGCTACAGTAACAGCAGGTTGAGAAATATGTGTCACATTTATCAAGAACAAGCGCTGTCCTTTCCTGCTGTTCTGAGTTATATGATCCTTCTTTTAAAGAGACTCTTTCTGGTCTGCCATTCAGTTAGCTATCAGTTCCAGTTGGCTGGGATTAGACTGGCTCTTCATCCCCTCCCTTCTAGTGCAGAAAGATGCTTGTGCCATAATCCCAGATTACAGTAGGCCTACACCATGTGAAAGTGGTCAGAGTAAGGCATTTCTTTCTACTGGATATTCTCTGATCGCATTTTCAGTGTTACATCTAATACCCATATATATGAATTAAACAATCTTGTTTCATTGTTTAATTTTTTTCCTGTTGTTTAATTTTTTCCTCATTCATTTACTGTTACTGTTTATGTACATTCTCCAAACCAAAGCCAACACACATCCTAGTAAGTGTGCGTTTGTGTGGGTGTGCGTGTCTGCATATATCCAACCTAATCTCTACCTGAGCCTGCTGTCTACTGCCCGGGCGTTCAGGGTCAGAAAACAAACAAAGCTGCATCTACTTAGCATGAGCTGGGAAAGTGGATTTTGCTCAGCAGGCTGCACCAGGAGGAAGAGGCGAACGGGACTGGACACTGGTCGTGTGCCCCCTTCCCCCTCCCATCCCCCAAAAATGGCGACAACATGGACATTATTCTATTTTAAGAGCAGTCGAGAACCAAACCTTAGAAAATGTTCAGTCAGGTTGACAGCAAGTGGACTTTTTTAGTTTTTCATCTTTTCGTTGTCGCAATAAGAACACTGATGAATGACTGGGGCTCTCAAGGCCTTTCAGTGCAGCTCTTGGCAACATGAAAACTCGAAGCAGTGCTGGAATATCTTTTATGTGGCGCAACAGGGGGGATTTCTAAGTGTCAGGAAGCCAAGGAATCATCAAGATGCTGCAGCTGGAGCAGCCACTGAGGGTAGGTGCTCTTAAATCATATGGGCATTTCAACAGTGGCCCTTACTAACATCTATTGAAGTTTAGTGCCATCTGTTCACAAAACAAACACAAATAACTTGTTTCAATACCTTAAAGCTTGGAATGATGTTGTCAGCCATTGAGTTGGTGGAAATGGAGTGGCTTCCCTGAAAACAATTTAACCTGTGTTAGCGCTGCATTAGAAAGGTGTAACAGGACAACAATCCTCACTTCACATGGCTGATTAAGAGTTTACATAACATTCATACAGCAAACTTATTCCTATTGAAACAAAGTATATAGAGCTGTGAGACCCTATGGGCCATGTTTGGTACTTTGGAGTATTGTACATATTGGTAAGCCAAAACAATCATTAAGTTTTGACTCAACTGTGCTATGTGTAACATTTGGTTTATTGATCACTACAGCTCCTTTTCTAAGATTTTGGCCACACTGTATTAACCATTGTGTTCACCATGTCATATGTTTTGAAATCCAGGTGTAAGTAGAAAAAAGCCTTGTGATACAATAACTTTATATGATAAGTAATACTGCATAATAGTCCAGGAGTTTGAAGTAGCTTTATGTGTCTGAAAAAAAACATTTGGCTATTATAGGCAATTAATATTGTGTATTTATACTTAACGCCAGATTAAAGTACAACCTGTGTCACCAGAATTTAGCCATGCACGCACAGGTAGCCGTAGTCAGTATTGTAGGACAAGTTACCTTCAAAGCAGGAGAAACGCCTGACCAAAACGGTGCTGTCGTGAAAATTGAACCGTCTGTGCGCCTTCAAGTCCTCCCTGCTAAACCGCTTACTGACTTCTCAGGTTGAAACCAGTCCCATCATCACCCTGCTGTCATGAGACCAAACATCCAAATTAACCCACTTAATATTTTAACACCCTTGACGCGGTGACATTGACTTGCTTTGAAGTACGTCGGTGGGCAGAGTGTCAGCGAGTCCCTGTCTAATAATAATAATAATAAAATATTGCTTATTTGTCTGTTGTGTAAGTTTATTTCACAGACTCAATATGCAATATGGAACCTTCTTTGTGAGTGTGGCGAGGCGTAAGCTACCTCTAGTTGAGACACAAAAAAGAGGCGTGCGGCGTGTGCTCGGGGACAAACTCAAAACTATTTCTACTTTAAGTTTTTGGAGTTATAAAGGTATATGAAGGCTGTTATGTTGAGTGCTGTTTGTCCTTGAAACCGCAGGGAGGGAGTGCCGGCTCGTTTTTCGAGTCGCGAACACCCACTGAGGTTTTAACTCTTTCTGTGTTGAGAGCTGAGCTTCAAACTACCTGTGCGCGTGCTCTGTGTGCGTCTGCACAGTTGGCCAAACATTTCGTCGTGGATATTTGCTCATACACGCTTTACAAGGTAACAAAAAATATATACATATAAATATATCCTACTAGCAAACAAAAGCTTTTTTAATAGAGTAACGCAGAAGGTAGGGTCTTTTTAGACTTGGTGGTCAGGTGCATATGTTTGTATTAGGCATAAATTTGCCGTCGAGTCGCTGGCGAAAAATGTTTTAAATGTTCGTGTAGTGTGACTGTCCTAGCTGGACACTCGAAAGCTGTTTTAGCTTTGGGGGGATACAGAGTAGCTTGTTCTGCAAATTTAGAGTGATACAGTTAATTGTAAAATACAGTTTACTTTTTCAAATTTCAACTGCAGGGAGTTGTATCAGAGAAATTTTTATATTTACAGACATAATTGCGTAAACAAACTCTTTGACTTAATTAGCTCGTTTGCACACCTGGAGCCAAAGTAGGCGATGCTTTGAATTTGAACACATTTCCTTTAATGTTTCCACACAGAAGCGATGATTTAAAATCTGAAACCTTGTGGACTTGCTTGGAAGTACAGTATCTTCTATGGACTCTCTTTTTATAATGTGGTGTTTGGTCGCTTATTATGCTGTTTGTTTGGTTAGATAGGTTATGATTTAATAACCCATCTAACCCTTTTTTCTTTCCTCTCCATCTTCTTTTCTTCAGTTTTTCCTTGACTCCTGTTTGTTTAACAGTTCTCAACACAATACATCTTGTGATAGGACCTTATAACTATTTGGCATTAGGTGATTTGTATCATCCCATAGCTGTCGTTTTGTTCATATTTGGCTTCTCCATATTTATTTGAAATACCCTTAATTATTCTATGTATGCTTGACATTTATTGTATTTCCACACTGCAGCTCAACCTGCTCATTTCCTGCCTCTGAGTTAGTCCAACCAGGGAAAACAGTCCTATACAGAGTGAATGTGGCAGTTATCCAGTACATCATGGTGTTATGCTATGCAGTGTACCGGAGACAACCAGGACTTTCGCAAATAAACTAAATATTGTCTGCTTCTCTCTCCTCAGACTTCAGCCGCTCCTCGAGCCAGGAAGCCAGCACTGCAGCCCTGCGATCAGCAGCATGGACTACTTCACGCCTCAGCCAAATCGTCGCCACAACCCCGTGGACAGCATTTGCCGCAAACTGCAGACCATTCAGTGGCGTGGTGATCGAGAGCCCAATTCACCTTTCCAGATTCCCAAACTCTCCTCCAGCAATTACGACAGCCCACAGTGTGGCCTCAGGCACAACCTGGAAGCCATCCTGAAGAAAGGGGCCCTCCACAGAGATGAGGGGGAGAGGGGGAAGGAGAGAGTGAAGGAGAAGGTGAAAGGGATGGGTATGCCGAGCTCTGCAGCTTCCCGGAGGAGCAGCTTGGGTCCTTCTGTCCTTCTGTCCACCCCTTCCACTCCAGCATGCAATCCCGCCACGCCAACTAACGTTACATACACTATCACTAGCACTCTGGGAGAGAGGAGAGGTGCAGATGGGAGTGATTTAAGACAAGTTAAGAAATGGCAGACGTATTGTTCGACGCCCACAGGCCAGTCCAAAGACTCCCCTTACTTTACATTCACACGAGGACCCCAGTCAGTGCAGCCCGAGAGCGAGAGGTCGAGTAGGAGCCCGCCTCTGTCTCGTACGTTCACCCCAAACCACAGCACCCTCTCCTACAACCTCAACTTCTGCTCCGCGGGCACAGGGAACCCAACAGAGTATGAGCTTCCCTACCCAGCTCTGGTGGTGAAAAGACTGTCCATGGGAGATGGAGGTAGGGAGGAGTGGCTGCTGGCCAGCTGAGATGTACAGGTGGTTGTAGCAGCATACTTGCCATGAACGCAACATGCATTGAGTGTGAAAGTTCATTCTTGACCTTAGAAACAGTAGTTTGACAAAAAAAATCTTTTCCACTCTAAACAGGGAATCTGAACAAGGAGAGGGAGAATGCTGCTACTTTATAAGATGGACGAATAAATAGTCTTGACTGCAAACTAACAATTAGGGCAAAGGTTTAAAAACCATGAAAATCCCAAATTTAAGTTTACCTCCAGAGGAACAAAATTGCTGCTGAAAAGGTTATTGGAAAACAATTTCCCAATGGCTGCAGAACTTCATGGTCCATGAAAACTCCGGCCATCATGTTTTTTCTTTTTTTGAGGCAGAATTGATAAGGGTCTTAGAGTGGGTTCTGTCCTGTCTTGAAGTCTGTTTGTGTCCAAATGTAGTTCAAAACCTGTATTATTTGAATTTGTGCTTATGTGTTCCAATTACTAAATTTAAAAAACAAAAAGTTATGACACAGAGAGTGAGGAGAACAAAGGTTAATGGGGTCACAGCTGCTAGTTACTTTGTAGCCCCAAACTAACTTGCCTTTTGTAATGAATAGTGTGTCTGGCCATCATAACCATTACATTTGTTGCTGTGCCTGAAGAAAAATGTATCATGTGCTTGCTTTGCTATGCAACTCAATACACTCTGTGTTTGGTGTGTCTGTGTGTTGCATTGTATTGTTCAGGATCCTCAGAGACCTCTGAAAACAGGAAGGAGAATATGGCAGAAATCAGTCTCATTTGTGAGGAGAATCTGCTTGATACCATCTTCCATGCCTGTGACACCCAGCGCCGAGGTACGCCCACACAAACACACAGAGTTACACGTGTGTCATTAACGGTTGCTTAGGCTTCCACTAAGTTGAATACGGCAGCCACATGATGAATTATAACTTCTTATTGAGCATTGTATGACAGTGTGTTTTTTTTCTGTGTTGAGGTAATTCCCTTAGTTTGCAACAGTCACACAGTATCTGTATTGTCTGTGTCTTCCTCTTGTGCCCTCTAGCATTAACAACACAAATCTTATCCATTTATCTCAGTATCCTTTAAGTTTTCTCGTCTGTTCAGAGGCGCCTGTGTTGTCTCAACATTTTAAATGCTTTTCTGTGAGGGAACTATCTTGCGCATCAGAGGTATTGGATGTGGAGTCTTTAAAGTGTGGAGGAGGTGGTAATCTTTTTATTTTTTGTAATTGTTATTGGCTGATTATCTGGATATTTGTTAAGCCTACTTTACTTACCCCTTTTTTCTTTTTAGATATACATTTTTTTGAAGAAAATAGTTTTTTGTTATGTAAAATAATTTCAACCGTGATCTTTACTGACACTATGATTACTGATTTTGCTGTCTACATCTATACCCCAAGAAAGACAAAAAGGTATAGAGGAAGTGCTTAGGCTATAAAAGTAAAGTAAAACAAACATATGACGGTTCTAACATGGTCTAATTATCCAAAATATGAGAGAATATTTTTGTCTGTGTTAATGTCATCTTCCAGGTAAAGTATATGTGTCTCACATTGTGGACTACCTGCGACACACCACCAGTCGCAGCTCAGAGGACAGTGGTCTGGAGGAACTTTGCAACATGCTCGATCCAGAACACAAAGACGTCTCCATTGACCTGGACACGTATCATGCCGTCATGAGGGAGTGGATTGATGACTGCCGCAACAATGGGTACTGAAAAGCAGACATTATGAATTAAGGGTTTTATTCCAAGATGTTGATACCTTAAGTACATGATCCTTTATTTAGAAATGAGAAATGTCGGGTCAGTTTTTGAAATGGTTTTGAATCCAGGTCCAGCAGGAGTGATTTGTAACTACAGTATAAGATGTGAGCTTCCTGTGTGTGGAAGGAAGAGAAAATTACCATGCCATAAACCAGTAATAGATTAACATTCATTAAGTATTAAGGTGAGTGGGGGGCCAAAGGTGTGCTTGTTTTCTTGAACCGTAAAATGCAAGTATGACCAGATATCACTTTTATAATTTGGCTTTTGTCAAATGTCTACCTTTTTTGTGTTGGCAAATTTTCTAATGAATATCTGAACTGTGACTAAATTATTTGCTAAATTTGCACTACATGTTTTTGTTTCCATCTACATATTTGCAGAGATTCCAACCTCTGTATTGTGGCTTGAAACGCCAAGTATTGCTTACCAGTCCTGTACTTTCATTTTAGCTTTTCAGAGAAGAGCCACTCATATATTCTGTTTGAGTTATGCAAGTAGATACTGTGTAGGTGGGTTATGTATCAGATGAGAAATTACTGGTGAGAATCCTCCCACCCACCCCACCCCCCCCACTCCCCCATAGTTTCAGCTGTATGCATCTCCATTTAACCATGTCTTTTGTCTTGAGGGTATTTGTGAATCATTATCATGTGTCCTCTGCACTCTGTCAGGTATCTATCCATCCATCTAGACAAGTCTTTAAGACATGATGCATCCTGACCATTATGTCCCTGTGCTTAAAACTTGGCCTGCTGGGTGGGCTGTGAATAATGCTAGACTTCATACTTTGAAAGGGTTGTAACTGCTGCAATAGAGCTCCCAATTGTGGTGATGATGCATCTTGTTACTGACTAACAAGTCCCTGAGTCAATTGTAGGTGAAGACATGCTTATATGCGGTATATTAAGTGTTTTACCACACACTAGTATAACTGTCAAGTGCGTAACGACTGTGCTGCAGCCAGTGAGCTCTCTTTGCAGGACATCCAGGATGTGTTCAGGCTGAGCACAGAGCTGTTTAGTGCTCAGCGTACCAGGCACCAAAAATTAAACAATTGACAAACATGTTTTCAGGAGTCCAAAGGCAGCAGCACTGTGCAGGACTGTCAAATCCTAGAAGAAGATCATGAAAGTAATCTATCTTGCACATTTTGATGTTTGATATCTTTATTGTATCTCAGGGAAGAACCAACAGAGGACATCACTCAGGACTCAGTCAAACTCAGAGACAGCCTGGCTGGTGAGTGTGCGTATAAGCATGTTTCCTTGTATTGTACATGCGTAACGTAGGCTTTAATAATTTTTGTG